CCCTCCTGCCACCTCAGCAGAGGCCCCAGACTGCACCTGCCAGTGGAATCCCGCAGTGCCACCGAGGCTGGGCACCATGCCACTCCTCTCTCCAAGAACACTACCACTTGGCAGGCTTCCAGGCACAGTCAAGCCCCATGGACATCACTCTCAGGAATCCACCCACTTGGAAAGCAAATGTGCAGGATCTCATGACCATACTGACAGCCTGGTAAATCAGTATCCAGACACAAAGCTGCAGCGGGGGCTCCAAGTGCTTTATGAAGCTACTCTATGGCCACAGCAGAGCAGACACGCATATACACATCTGCATAACACACAGACTTACTAGGATGTCATGAGCCTTTGGGGTTTTCAATACTACACCACAGACAATGGTGGCAGCAGGTCTCCAGTCTCAAGAAGCACATGACTTTATCTGACAAACAAAATGGTCATCAGGAGAAAAACTGTATATGGATGGTTAAATGCCACTCAGTACAGTGGGACCTAATGACACCTGGATCTCAGGGCTTGGGCTAATATGCCAAAGGGGTGGCCTTGCAAAGGTACAGTGCTTTTGGTGGAAATAAGGAAATGCATCCAGGTAGAGAAAGAGTAAGAGCAAGGCCAACAGTAGCAAGACACCTGCTTGGTGTCTGCTGGCTTCCCACGAGCTTGCCTGTAGAGATATTCTCTGGTGGGGTATTCGAGGAAAAAGGTGACCTTCCAAAGTCTTTCTGCTCGTCATTCTATCTCCAGGCAGAGACCTACCCAGTCACTAGGAAGTCTCCACGTGCTTGTCCATCATTCAGCACCTCAGGAGGGTGTGGAGGGGATGGGCAAATGATGTCCTATGTTCCAGGTGGTTCTTTTTTGCTCCTGATCCCAGGCTTAGAGTGAAGCCAACCCTGACATCCTGACAGCAGACAGAACCACAAGTCCAGGTGCAAGCCACACTGCTGGGTGACAGAGTGGGCTGGCAATGAAACAGCTCCGCACAGCAGTGTGTGCTATACTGGTAGTAAACCAACCCAGTCAGAATCTCTTTAAGAGAAGTAGGTGCCATGGTTTGGACAAGTGTTAAAAGCTTGGTGCCCAGCCTGTGGCACTATTGGGAGGTACTGGAATCTTTAAGAGAGGGGCCTGGTAGGAGGCCTTCCAGTCACTGGGGCATGTCCTTGAAGGGGACAGTGGGACTCCAGCCCCTTCCTCTCTCTCTCTGATGCCACCATGAGGTGAGCGGTTTCCTCTACCACACATTCCCTGCCATGACATGTGACTTTACTACTGGCCCAAAGACAACTTGGCCAAGCAACCATGGACTGCAACCTCTGAAACAGTGAGCCCAAATAATAAACTTTCCCTCCCTATAAATTGGCTATTTCAGGTATGTTGTTACAATAGCAAAAAGCTCACTAAGACAGTAGGGATGCTGATGAACAGAGAAGTAGACCTCTTCTTCTGATGTTCTGGGACAGTTATGGAGAACCTTTTAGAGCTTTCAATGATACAAACAGCCCATGTGGCATGAGCGTCATAAGTTCACTATCACTATTTTATGAAATGGGCCAATGACCTGGTCTAGAACTTTTGGAACTCAAATGTTTGGCTGAAAAGATGATACCCCACTTCCATATAGCCCAACAGTTGTCCTCTTTCCATGATGGAAGATCACTTCTTCCTCAGAATGCCTTAAAGATGGTAATCTGAACTCAAGACCTCAGATACTCCTAGGGAAGAAAGTGTGTAGAAAAGGGGAGCAGAATGACTTCTTCTATCCACACATCTTTTAGCCCCATGAACACTTGCTCCAGACTACTTCTGAACTTCTGATACACACTGAGCCCTGGCCAGATAGAATCCAAACATTCTTTGGACCAGACCTGAATGGAAAGGATGCCAGGACCTTACCCCTAGTCCAGCCATACTCAAAGTAGGGCAGTCTCCTGTTTCTTGTCATGGTCACCATGACAATATGTTTTGATTGGCACTGCCAACACAACTACATACACTTTGTAGGATTTGCTCTGATCCCTCTTTGGGAAATGAATAAATACAACCCAGAGAGGTTATGAAGGTCCGAGGTCACAGTAGACTGAGCAAGCCACTCTGACTTGATCCTGAGCCCCAGATTCTTCTCAAATTATAGTGCTCTTAAGGGGAAGGGGATTGATCTCTGCTCTTTCATGGCAGCTGCCTGGCATCCTGTCTGTATCCCTCAACTATAAATGAGGTTTCCTGACACCTCTCCAGCAAGTGACAAGCTGGAGAGGCTCCAAACAAGAAAGCACTCCCCAAATCTTGGATGCAAAAGGCGGGGTAGTCAGAGGAAGCAGCACCAACAGCCAAAGTCCATCAGACCATCATGAACTGCCACACATGGTTCTGGGGTTCTGGTAATCCTAGTGGAAGTGAGTCACATAGCAGAGTGAAGGGAGCTGTCAGACTGGAGCAGTGATTCTGAATCTTGACTGGGTTCAGGGGCTTTGTGTACTCTCTGAAATTCCTTGCAAGACTGAGGAGGGTGAGAGGTGCTGTGGTGCATGCTTGTAATCTCAGCATTTGGGAGGCTGAGGCAGCAAGATCACTGTGAGTTTGAGACCACACAGTGTGTTCAAGGCCAGCCTGAACTACATAGAGACCCTATCTTAAAAAAAAAAAAAAAAAAAAAAAAAAGACTGTTAGAGTCCATTTGTCTAGGAAGAGTGTGTAGCTCTTTAAGGGTCTTAGAAAGATCAAGGACTCAAAGACATTGAGAACTACAAGAATTAAGGACCTTGAGTTTCCTTTACCCCTATATATGCAGAGCATATACAAATCTGGGTGCTGAAAAAACACTAACATAGGAGAATGTGCTGTGTGAAGTGGGTGGTGGTCACTGTCCTGGTTGCTGCTATTTCTTGGCTCTATTTTTTGATGTCTACCCTGGCGGTCCCAGATATTCCAGCGCTACTGAACACCCTGCACACCCCTCTTCTTTGTCAGGCTCTGGTGTTTTCATGTCTCTCACTGACTGCTAAATTCCCTTTCTGAACACCACCACCTCCAGGCCACAGGAGGAAACTAGAAAGGAAAATATAATGTAGAAGAAAGAGCACACATTCAGGTGAACATTCCCCAAGTCAGTCTCAGGGTCCTAGGAAATCCTCCTCTGTTTGTCATGGACATTTGGCCACACCTGCACTCCCCTCCTGTACTGCCCAGGGCCGTGACCATTTCCTGGAGGGCCCCTGATCTCTCCTTCCATGCAGTGTGGGGCAGCCTTCTAAGTCCACAGCGCTCAGCCTACAGACAGAGGTCAAGAGAGCCCCAGAAAAGGGAGAAGTCTGATGAACCCTTCTTTCCCCATCAGGCCTTCCAGTCCTGTGGCTGAGGAAGATGCCAGCAGAAGCACCTGCAGAGGACATGCTCTTGGTCTGGAGGACCCTGCAGGGAGCAGCTCAGTTTTCCCATGGTGTGGAGTCACACTGGGGAGTCTGAAATATCCACGGACTCTGGGTCCAGGGCCTCTAATTGGTGCACAAGAATGCTGGCTTCTTCTTGGTCTCTTACCCTCCAAAAGAGGCTTATTGGCTCCTTCTACACTTCTGTATCCTGCAAAGCACCCCTTCCAGGACCCAGGGACGAGCACATGACTGGTAAAAGCTTACTGTCTAGGGTGTAAATGGGATCTGATGTTCTGGAAAATCCATTACTCTGTCTGAAAGTGAAAGAGTTATCATAGAGTTGGTTCACCAGTTTCCAGTTTTCAAAAGACAAAAAGAAATGCTCACAGGCTAAAGTTATGAGGTTTGGATGCCATCTTTCTTTGATGATGGCAATCTAGTACCACTCAGGCATCATTCTGGATACTGTCTGAAAAAACAACGCAAGGGTGGAACCCCGTATCTTCCTACGTCCTCATCTCTGCTTCCCTCTTTTGAGTAGTGCGCGGCTTGGGAACACATACTCCAGCGTAACACTGCATCAGATAGAAAGGTGGGGGGCGGTGTTATAGAACCCAGGAGAGATGTGGATATGATTAGATTTTGGGAGCTCACCCCCGGAAGGCGCTCCTACAGCCTCTCATCAGTGATGGGAAAACCTCACAAAGGTCGCCTGAGGTTGCCCCTCCCCCACTCACCATAGACTGCATCTCCACTAGGGATATCCTAGCAGGAAGATAGGGCCTGGGCATGTCTACACCACAAAGCCAGCTCAAGACAACCGGGGCAGTTTTGCATTCTCCTGCCTCTCTCCCACTCAACAAAATCCATGGTACAGGCCACCCTCTTCCCACAAACCCAGGAAAGAAAACAAGCCAAAGAGAGGTAGGTGGGTGAAGCATCAATCCTAGGGCAGCTCCCAAAAGGGAGGGTGGGGCAATGGCCTGATCTACAGTCTGTCCCTAACCAACGGGACAGGACCTGCTGGGAGCAGAGCTTGCAGCCTCCTGGAGTTCCTGCTGGCCAGGAACTCAGCCTAACTCTCTCCTCTCCACGCCTTTTTCAGGGGCTCATGCCCGAGGGCTCGCCAAAGTTAGGGGTAGTGAAACTGCTCCCTGATGCGTAACCGGGAAGCCTCTCAGGTGGGCAAATAACCTAGGGACGGGCACCTCACCACCCCTAAGGACATGCCCTTGGATCCCCCTCGGGAAGCCAGGTGCAGCAGATAACTGCGCATTCCTTGAGGACCCCGGCTGCGCTGACAGCCTCGAGATCTGAGGAAGCAGAGCCTTGGCCGAGACCGGACGCGCATCCCCTGCCCCCTCCCACCGACCATCCCCGGAGACGCCGGGAGGACAGAAGCAGCGCCCTCGGTCCAACAGGTCCCCTTCCACGGGCTTCACCGGCTAACCTCCCTCCGCCCTGCCCTGAGGCCCCAAATCCAGCGAGAGTGCCGAGGCACCTGCTACCACACGGCTCCAGCCCCAAGGAGGGGGGGCCCTGGGCGGTGCCCCTCGCCTCCCCGCCTGTCCCTGGAAGGGGCGGGGCGCTAGCCAGGCCTGAGCCCCCCACCCGGCCCCCGGCCTCACTCACCTGGCGCAGGTGCTGCAGCAGCGTGCCCGCCTCCTCCCTCCGGCCCTGGCGCACCATCCGCAGCAGCTCCTGGACCATGCCGACGCGCCGGTGGTAGGGCGGCAGCCCCGCGCCGGCGCCCGCGCGCCCCGCC